TAACTTCTTTTATTTCTCTTTGCTTCAATTGTGGCTACCCATTCCCATGGAAGGACCCCATCTAGTTTAATCCAGGGGATAGGTTAAGGTGGTTAAAAACAAAAGAACAGTATTTTCTTTGTCTCCTTTCTCTCCTCTTGCCCTCTCTCTTACTCTCTCTTCATATTGCCCTTTCCCCAAACGCACATCTCACCAACGTATATAGCTTATTTTGTATGTTAAATATGTCTACGATTCACTTCTAATCTACATCCTTAGAGTGAAATGCTAGCCATTTTTAAATGTAGCCATTTAAAAATTATGACACATGCATTGTTAACTGTATCTCCTCAAAAAAAAAAAAGAGGCACGGAACACATTACAACCTCGACCTGACAGTATGCATAAACTAAAATTTATTAAATGAACACATACATATATGTGTTTGGTAATTCGTAGAATATTTCTGGAAGGATAAGTAGGAATATTGGTTGTGTTCCATGCGATGAGGAGAGGGTCTGGAACACTTGAAATCAGAAGAGGGAGAGAAACCTACCTTTAGAGCAAATAAAACTTATTTATACTGAAAATCTTTTACTGAACATGTATGTGTGTATAACGATCTTAATAATAAACATCACTATTATAATTTTTTTTAATGTCTGTCTTGCAGGTTCCCTCAAAGGTAAAAAAGTAACACTTACAAAGCACCTGCTGGTCACTAATCTCAATTATCTCTTTTGAGTTTACTAAGAAATTTGTGACACAGCTTTAACATTCCCTTAAAATGATTACTCCAACGTCCCATTCTTTCCTATTGGCATGTGGACATATCCAGTAAGAAAAGACATCATGTACATGATATGAATGCCCATCCACCAGGTGATATGTTACTATGCTACAAAATACAGTATGACTTACCAGTAAAACCTGTTTGGTACGACCCCTTCCTGGATAAGCTGCCACCTCCTCCCAAATTCAGCAGAGCTGTATAACTGTGGAGAACAGAAATTATTCAGCACCATGATCCTGTGACACACTGAATACACAAACATCAGTTCATTTAATCAACAGTAATAATAACGATGATGATGATGATAATAACAATATCTTCCATTTATTCAGAACCTGCCATAGAACAGATGAGTGCTCCACATACATCATCTCTACTCCTCACATAAATTCTGCAAAGTAGATACTAATACTTCCATTTTACAGTTGTGGAAATGGAGGCTCAGAAAGATTAACTGACTTGGTGGAGATCATACACCAAGTAAGTAGTAGAATAAATTGGCACACTTAACCAGTTCTGCCTGGTGACGAAGTCTGCTCTACCATTTGGCCTAGCATGTACCGAGCATTATGGGGGATGTAAAGAACTGCAAAGTCTAGACTTGGCTCTTGATGAGCACACATTACAACCTAGACCTAATTAAACAATGAGAAATACATGAGGCAGCCAGTGATAAAGGAATGCAGAGGAAGAAGACTCAAGCGTCAACCAAGGATGCTTCACAGATGCTGTGGAGGTGTAGTTGGGACAAGAAAAAATGACAGCATTCAAATTGACAAAAATGGGAAAGGCATTACTCACATGGATTGAAGTGGAGAGATATCTAGGGACAGGGTATGAATAAGCCTGGCTAAAGCTAAGGGCCTGTATTGGTAGAAGTGAAATAAATTTGGATAAATAGGTTGAGGGCAACTGGGGAAAGGCCCTGAATGCAAGTTAAGGAGGCTAGAATTGATCCTGCAGGCAAAGAGGAGCCAATGTGAATCTTTTTAACAGTAAACAGGAACAACAAACTACAATAATGGCAGCTGACATTGCATAAGCTCTTAATATGATCAGTTGATTCACATGCATTATCTCATTTAATCCATACACCATCACTGGGATACAGGACCTTTTATTATGGCTATTTACAGATAGTTACACAGGTGGTAAGATTTCAAATCCATTTGCTATACTCCTTCAGTACTCTCCAAGGGCATTTCCAGAAAGTCATTGCTCATGAGATGGGGAATGACCTTCCACATACCCACCCTTCTCTTAAATCCTGGTCTTCCTTGCTCCCTTGTCATCACTGCTGCTCTCCGATAATCTTTTCAGGACCATGGACCCCTCTTCTGCCTCCAAAAGCTTCCTTTGATGCAGCTCACAGATTCCTTTTGCTACAGGAACTCTGGCTCCCATGGGCATATGCCCACTGTTTTAAAAAATATCATCTGGAACATTTCCTTCTTCAGTGTGCCTATTCTGTAACCCCCTTCCACACCTATCTTCCAACATCTCACTGCCATTTCCAACAGTAAATGGATGGTGAGTCACACTGCTCTGTGTACCACAATTGCCCAGCCTTCTCCACTCTGCCCAAGCCCAGCACTCAGTGAGAGGTCAAATGACTCACCAAGTGACTCACCCAGTCTGCAGATACACCAGGCACATCCAAGGAACAACAGAGTTCAAGTTGATTATATACTGACCCTTGAAAGAGACTGCTACATCATTATGTCTCTTGGTTCAAACATATCCTGAAACCAAAAAAGGCTGAACCATATGGCTACTAAATCCAGCGGCTTAAATGTTTCCAACTACACAGTATATGGGCATCCAGCCAAGGAAAATCTGTGGCTATTTCTAAGTCTTTTTTTTTTTAAGACTTTATTTTTAGAGCAGTTTTAGGTTTATAGAAAAACTGCATACTGTTTCTCCTATTATTAACATTTTGCATTCAGGTGGAACGTGTTACAATTGGGGAAAAAATATTGATACACTATTATTAGATAAAGTACATAGTTACATCAGGGTGAAACACAAATGCATAATGTCATGTGTCCACAATTACATAATAATACAGAATAGTTTCACTGTCCTGAAGATACCCTGTGGTCCATCTACTCACCCTTTCTCACTCCCCTTCCCTCTGACAACCATTGATCTTTTTACTGTCTCTATAGTTTTGCCTTTTCCAGAAAGTCATATAGTTTGAATCATACTATGTAGCTTCTTTGGACTGGCTTCTTTCACTTATTAGGTGCTGTCAAGTTGGTTCTGACTCATAGCAACCCTATGTTCAACAGAATGCATTTGTATTTTTGGAACTTAAGAGCTCATTTCTTTTTAGCACCGAATAACATTCTTCTAAGCTTTTTTTTTTTTGAGGGCATTGGTGGTTCAGTGGCAGAATTCTTCCCTTCCATGTGGGAGACTAGGCTTGATTCCCAGACAATGTACCTCATGTGCAGCTACCACTCATCTGTCAGTGGAAGCTTAAAGGTTGGTATGATGCTGAACAGGTTTCAGCAGAGCTTCCAGAGTAAGACAGACTAGGAATAAATGCCTAGTGATCTACCTCTGAAAATTAGTCAATGAAATCCATATGGATCACAACAGTCCAATCTGCAATTGATCATGCGTATGATGCAGGACCAGGCAGCGTTTTATTCCATTGTGCACAGGTCACCATGAATCAGGGGCTGACTTGACAGTAGCTAACAACAATAAAGTCTTTTCTTTTTTATTATTTTTTTCTCTGCCCTAGCGTGCCCTATTGCAATTGCCTAGGTACATCTTATGCCTCAATTCATTTTAAGAAGAGACTGGGAAACAGCTCCCTTCAGAGAGTTAACCACAGTGGGAAACTCACACCCTCTGAATTCAGAACCCAGGCAGCCGGTACATATGTCTTGCTTCAAGGGCTTCGAAATGGTTCTTCCTGGTTCAGTCATGGCCGAGGAAATATCACTGGAACAGACTTGAATTTTTTAAATTTGCGTGAACAGGAATAATAACTGGAACGGGAAAATTACGGGTTGAAGCCCTGCTAGAAACTTAATCTCCCTTTAGAAAACAAGGGCAGTGTATGTGTTGCATAGCAACCAAATTTCTTGCCTCTTGGATTTCTAGCAGAGTGGGAAACAGTGGTGCCCTGCTCAAAGATGTCAGTGCCCCACTCAAATATGGCAGTGCTCCAAAAATGGCACTGTCCCGCTCAAAGATGGCAGCTGATTGCACTACTTTGAATGTGTGTCATTCTCCACAGTCCTGCCAATAATCCAGTCTCACACATCAGGCTCCTGAAAGGGTTCACTATGCCTCTTCCAAGTGTCCCATTCCAAGGCTTTGAAACGTAATTTTTCCCATTCTGGTTACTTTGCCAAATCACCCAAATTGTAAAAATTTGGGTCTCCTCTGGTTCTCCTTCGTGGGCCATGACAGAACCAGTTCAAACTGGTTCAAAGCCCTACTTGCTTCTTGCTCCCCAGCATGTCCTGAACATTCCTCATTTTAACCCACAGGCTTGTGGAACAGCAGCAAGTCCCGAATCTGGAAGTGTCTGTTTCTCTCTCCCCTCATTCTATCTCTTTTTGAACTCAGAGCTTCTTCCCATGGGCTTAACAGTAATACAGTTCATGCTGTTGTATACCTATGACTATCTATAAATGTACATTTATATCTATATTTATATATGAAGGTTAATGCAAAGGTAACAGAATCAGAACTGTTCAAAATCAGAACAGCTCTGCGTGTGAAGGATGGGTTTGCCTATATCCCGAAAGAGTCCTATACAAACTCTGAGGACTCATATGGCTACACTCAGGGATTACTACCCTTGTTCCAACACAGAATTCATATCTGTGAGTAATAGCTGTGTGCTAGTATCTTTTTTTCTTTTTTCCCCACCCTTCTTTTCTCTGTCATTTTAAATTGATTCCCTAGGCTAGGATTTGAAGCCTGTGGACCAGTCAGATATCTCCCATGATATTTGTTTATATCCTCTTCATGGCTGTTATTTGTGAGCATCCAGAGGCCCCTCGAGCAGTGTGCATCTCAAACGATCTAATAAACCAAGCCTCTCATATTATGAAGGGACAGCAGGGGTAGGTACTCAGTGAGAGGAGGAAAGCAAGACAACCAGTGCACTGTTCCTTCATAATGAAACACGGGTGGCTTCAAGACTTGCTCACCCCAACCCCAGTTTTCTTTTTAGGCCTAGATCAAAGGCTACCTCCTATAAGAATTTTCTTTGCCCACTGGTTTATCTCCAAAGAACTATGGTACAGCAACAAATACTATCAAACTATAGGTCACATACTTATATTTAACTTTCTCAGCAGTCCTTCAAGAATGGCTTCATAATCTCTTTCACGACATTGCAAAATGTTTAGGGATCGGGATCCCATCCTTCTCTATCTAGACAGTGCCTTGTACATCATAAATGATCAAGAAAAAAGTCTTGATTTTGTACCACGTAAATCCCCTAGTAAGAAACCAAACAAGGTTTCCTAATGAATGATGGACTAAGCCATTTTATCAGAAGGCTATGTTTTGCTTCCATGGATCCACAGCTAGAGGCCTACACCTAAAAAAAAGAAAAAAGTTCTATAAATATCAGAACATTTGAAAGTCTCAAGGATTCACCAGCAGTGTCTCTCTCTATATCCATCCTTAGACAAAGCTGCTCTGTATATTCCACTTACTCCTTCAAACTTTTTCTAAGAAGTTAATTGTCCAGCCTGGTGTTATACCAAGAAAAGAAGAAGACAACAACTCACAACCATTCAAGCTAATGTGTTAATTAAACCTGTAGAATCTGACAGCAAAGTTCTCCTTGACAGAGAAGGAGATGGTATCAAAGCATTTTACCCAATGACTCTGTTTCTGTCGCCAGTGGAAGGCTTTTTGTGTAAAATAAGTCAGTGTTTTTTAATGAAATTCAGTGTTGGCAGCCCCTAAATAAGATTTATTTCCCTCACTGTCTGTCTCTGGGTCCAAGGTTTCTTTTGACTGTCAGAACGCAGAACTGAGGACTACCATTACTATCTGTCACATCAGAGAAAGCAGCAGTGGCTTCCTTTACCGATGCTGAGACTGGAGAAAGAGAAAGCAAGATTAGGAAGAGGAAAAAAAGAGCATATTGATTAGTTTCAGGAGGGTGATGTTCACCTAGTAACCCTCTATTATGCATTCAAAATGCCATTCTTCAAGGAT